AGGTAGGAGGGGTAACTTCCTCCATCCCAAGATCATCTGGCCGAGGCAAAGGAGGCAGCCATGGCATCTGGGAACGATCCTGAAGCTGCATGGGGAAGACATCCTCATGGAAAACCACATCACGAGACGTGGTCAGCTTGCGAGTGACGAGATCGTAGACACGATAACCTTTTTGATGAGCAGCATATCCGAGAAAAATGCATGCACGCCCCCGTTCGGCGAACTTGTAAAGACCACTATGATTGTCTTTGGCATAGACAAGGCATCCGAAAACCCGGAGATGTGAGTAGGAAGCCGATTTACCAAAGATAACCTCAAAAGGTGTCTTACCAGTGACCGTGGTGGGCAAACGATTAAGTAGGTAAGTGGCCGTGAGAATGCACTCCCCCAAGAAGCGAAGGGGAAGGTCGGCCTGAAAACGCAAGGCGCGCGCAGTCTCAAACAAATGACGATGTTTTTGCTCGACAACGCCATTCTGTTGAGGAGTGTCAGTACACGAGGTCTGGAGAAGAATCTCGTGTTCCTCATAGAATGTGCGGAGAGTAATGGTTTGAAACTCAAACCCATTATCAGCCTGGATGCGCTTAACTGTCTTACCAAACTGTGTACGAGCCATGCGACAAAACATCATCAAATAACGACCAACTTCTGATTTAAATCGCAAGAGATAAACCCACACGCCGCGACTAAAATCATCAACAATCGTCAAGAAATAATGTGCTCCACTGAGAGATTCGACATGATAACCACCCCAAATATCCATGTGCAACAACTCAAAACAATCTGTAGTCTTGATCGAACTAGAAGGAAAAGGGGTTCGAGCTAGCTTGGCCCGTAAACACGAATGACAAGGTTCCTTAACAGACTGAGGAACAAAATAAATACTAGACTGAAGCTGTGACATCTTTTCAGCTGACGGATGCCCAAGTCGAGCATGCCAAGTTGACGCAGCAACTTTACTTCCACCATCTACCGCGAAGACCACGCTCTCTCGACAGCCAAAGAGCTGGAGATAATAGAGACCGTCACGGAGATTCCCCTTCCCAATCACGCTCCTGGAGCTTAAGTCCTGGATGACACAAAAATCCCGGAGAAAATCGAAGCAACATTATTTTCCGCTGTTAACCGACTGACTGACATGAGATTATAACGAAAATCCGGGACATGAAGTACACGATCCAGACGAAGACCAGCCGGTAAGGCAACAGATCAAACTTTAGCCACAGGAACACTATCACCATTGGGAATCCGAACAGGTTGACTAGCATGTTCGGCGACGGTATCAATTAACAAAGAGTCATCCATGGCTATATGCTCATTACAGCCTGAGTCTAATAACCATTCAGAAGAGTGTGTGAACGTACCAGCCATATTGACGGTCGGGTCGGATGCTCCCTTCAGCGCCATTCCAAAAAACTGCCGAAGTTGTTCAAGTTGTTGGAGACTAAAACCAGCGACAGGACTAGAATCAGCATCAACTTGGGAAGCTTTAGGGCCGCTATCCGAGGAATTGAGGCGACGTTGTGCAGATTTGCTGCCCTTAGGCGGCCAACCGATGAGATCATAACAGGTCTCTTTTAGATGACCTTGCTTTCCGCAATGGGTGCAGCGGGGACGAGGCCGCGAATCCCCATTAGAGCCTGCCTTGACATCGCGCAGGTCATCATCACGGCGGGAGTTGAAGGCCGCACTCTCAACCGGGGTCTTGCGGGACTGTGAAAGAAGACGTTGCTGCTCGTCTGCGGAAACAACGTGAAAGGCCTCAGCAAGGGACGGAGTCGGTTTCATCGACAAGACTTGACTCCGAACGGTGGCAAAAGACTCATCCAGGCATAGGAGAAAGTCCAACAAACGCAAACTTTCAGTTTGGTCTCGCATGCGTCGCTCCAAGTTGCATTGGCACAAGCCACACGTACAACATGGTGGGGTTAGAATCGCCTGTGTCTCTTCCCAGATCCCTCGAAGCCTTGAGTAAAATTGTGAGACTGAAAGTTTTTCCTGCTGCAGGAGAGCAATGAGACGCCTCAATTCATAGACTCGAGTGAGGCTCCATTTGCCAAAACGATCTTTCAGATCGGACCAGATTGCTGCCGATGATGTGGCGTACATAACGCTACTACGAACCTCCGGATTCATGGCCGTACGAAGCCAGCCTTTGACCATCGCATCACAGCGAACCCAGGCGGCCTGATCGGCGACAACAGTTGGTTTCGGAACTGAACCATCAACGAAACCAAGCTTATTTTTTGCAACGAGAGCATCAGTCATCTCGAGAACCCACTCACCATAATTGGACGATGTGAGAAGGCTACTGACGTGGAGATGGCCCGTGCTATCGGATGGTGCGAGATGATAAACGAGATCAACAGCAGGACTGCTGCTTTCCGACGAACTAGACACCCCGGACTTGGACTCTGACTGCGGGGGGGGGGGGGGGGGTAGCTTCGTCGCCCATGACGGAAGGATGAACAACGAAAGATGGGACGGATCAATGCTCTGATACCATGATAAATAGTGAACTCGAAAACGAGAGAACACGATTTTAACGTGGTTCGGTCTCACGGTGTGTGAGACTTACATCCACAAACAACTGACTTCTCTTATTATTGAGGTGCGGCCAAAGGCCTTGATACATGCATATTTATACCCTGCAACTTGTAACCTAGGGTACAGCCGAGAGGACTCCTACTCCTATTACCAATACATGTAGCATTAGGAATAGTAACGTGCATGCTCATGCAAGCGACGGGCTGGGCTTGCTTCTGCACTTGGCTCTCGGTGGAATCAACGGGCTCGATCTGGCCCAATAGCAGTCGCTTAATGAGGTTTTCTAGGTTTTTCAATTGTTCAGATGTCTCCTGGGCACTTCACATCATATTAGTCAAAACTAGCAGTCATACGAACAATTATAGATATGAACATATGCCAAAGAACTATGCAAATAATATGCTCTTCCCAATTGATTGTGTTCATGTCCAACTAATCAAGTCACGGACAGGTGGGAGTCTTACTTGAGCAATAAGGGCGACCAATCGAGGATTAGTTGAGATACCATAAAATGTCAAAGCAAAACTGCAAAAGAAGATAGGAAAGTTAAAATTTGAGAAACACATTCCTGTCCACCAAGCACCATAAGTCGATGAAGTGAGTGTTTATATCAGGAGACAAAACCATCAGACAAGGAAAGGTTTGGTACTTTAGGGGAACTTCAGATCTTCAAGCATACCACTTACTTCTATAATACCACATTAATGGTGCTAAACAACCATCCAAAAATTCTATGGTCCAAGAAATAAAAGTTTTATTCCCCTTCAAACTATGAGACTCTGCACGAATGCCTCTAAAACGTTTCCCCAGGAGCCAGATACAATACCATATTGACTGCCAATCTCTTTTGAAAACAGATTCTGCTAGCAGAAATAGTAAACATGACCTCAGAATATCCGTGTTGCATTCTCCGAAACGTATAAATGTCAGTTGTTTGTGTGTGTGTGTTCATGAGACATTCTCTCGGGATTTGATTATAGCATCCAAAAGACTTGGAAGTAATAACGATCATTATTTCGTAGCAATCTAAAGGACTAAAGAGGTTACTAGCACCACCAGGCATGTCTTTTACACTATCAAAAAGTGCATCCGAAACTACGAAATATACAAGAAGTAAGTCCCCTTGGTTTAAGAAAATAATTGACTCTGAGACTTACCTTCAACACAACCAAATTCTTTTATAAGTCTCACAGTTGGCCTATCCAAATGCTCTCTCTCAGCAACATCAAACACAAAAACACCACTGAGGTCCTGTGAGTTCTTCTTCTCCTTCTACAAATTGATCATAAGTAATAAATAATTGAGCGGACATTAAGCACAGTACCCAGTCTCTTGTTGAAAGGTTGAACTCCAAGCTTATGTGACAATCAAGTAAGAACTGAGCAGGCAATTTTTCTCTTCAACTTAGCCTTTCTATCTCTCAACATATATATATATATAAAACCTTCATATACAAATTTGATGATACAAACAATAGTTTTGATAAACCTTATAGGGCAGAAGGACTACAAATAATAAAATGAAGTGAAAGAAGCGAAGCATTCAGCACAGACAAACAAATGAAGTTCGCCCCTCAAAATAAAAAGAATCAAGTATGCTCTCATCATCTTACATTATACATGAGAATGCAAAAAGAAAAACCTAACAAGAGAATTATAAGTGTTGCTTCAGTACTAGAACGCCAGTGGAGACTTCATCCATCAAGATTTTAAAAAAAAAAATCATCAACAACCATTTGCTAGCCAATATATCGAATATTATGACTGGCTAGCAAGAGAACATTATAAACTGTCATCAAACTTTAGGTATGCACCCAGTTAACAGTACACTAATTAGACCTACTAAGCAATGAAACTACATACTTTCTATCCAACAAGTTATAGTTCTAATAAAAATATAGAGAGGAATAAAAGATCAGAACAACCAATCAAGGAAATGAAAGGCACCCTTGTGGCAAGGAATAAGATCCAGAATTAAACATAACCAACAATGATTCACTAGATCAACATCTTACCATGTCAAAGAAGCAGATAGCAACTTCATTATACGTATGATAGAATGATGGGCGGCCCAACATGCACACTTTCTCCACCACCATCGATGTACGCCATACGACCTCCAGGCTAACTCTTTTCTCGTACCTTCTTCTTCAGTTCATCTCAGCTTTTCTTCCTCCCCGTCGTCTTCGAACTCTTGTGGGGTTTCCTTCAGTTGGGAAATCTACCCTTCTAAACAAATCTACTCTTCAGTTGAACAAATTTTCAGAGGTACAGTGTTAAATTCGTTTTACTTTCCTTTCATAATGCATTTCTCTTCTCAGTAAACAAGTGAATTGTTGTGAGCAAGGTTGGAGAATTGTATACATCTATGCTTTTCTATCAAACTGCAGTTAAGATTTGTTTAAAACTTCCTCGGTAATTTGTTTCTCTATAAGTTTGTTCAACTTATTTTGAATGTACATTTTGGCATCTTTTAGGCTGACATACTTCAGCGAGGCATACTGGCATAGGTATGATGGCATGGTGTCTTTCATAGTTTTAGTTTCCATTTCATCCTTGCAGCCTGCTTTGAAACTCTTAAGAAGTATAACCATTGTAGGTTTGGAGCTTAGTCTAAGTGTATAGACGTCTATATCCTGCTTAACTTATCAAGGAAAGGGTTTGGAGAGGTGTCCTAATTTATTTTTTCACGAGAAAACAATTTTTAATTGTTGGTACCAAAAAAAAAAAAAGCAGTTGATTTAGTAGTGCTGGCTGCAATCTGTAATTTGGGTGTCTAGCTATTATCTTGTTGTTATGCACTCCAGAAATTTCTAGAGACTGAGACTCCTTCCAATTTTATTAACTTGCAGGTTGCTTCCTAAGAATTTACTACTTTGACTTGCATCCCTCGTGTTATCGTATATAGGGGAGCAAAGATTCAGGTGATATTATTTTCTACCATTTTTTTTTCTTCTGATTTTCGATTCATATTTGGGTGATGAGTTATGACCTTAAGTTCTGTATCCATTGGGTACTTTGCCTGGTACATCGTCCACCCAGATCAGTTTGTTTAGATAGAATAGCTTTAGGGAGAGGGATTCATACCTCTTCAGAGTAGCTTGCATGTAACCATTCAGTTCTTTGTTGGTCAACTTACCTCGAAGATCCACTGTGTTTCTTTCTTCCTTTTTTTCACTATCTTTTTCCTGTTTTTCCTATTGCTCTCTTTTCTAGAAAATAACAAAAAGGATGAACTGCACCTATTGTTATTTATTTCAGTTGCTGGATCTCCCTGGTATTATTGAGGGTGCTAAGGATGGAAAGGGTCGAGGAAGACAGGTAAACATTTGTCTCCTTACTTTATCCTAAGTGATATCCTCATTTAGTCATTTGTGTTGATTGTTTGGGTAGCCGGGTTTATCATATTTTATGTACACCATACTCTTTGATTGTACTAGAATGCTTGTTAACTTATCATCTTTTTCATTAAAGATCAACCATTTATAGTGTTTAGTGGTAGATATTTATAGTGAATATGATGTTAAGAGTTAACAATCTATTGAACTTGATGTTTATGGAGAAAGATGTACTTTGGGTTGTACTTTGCAGTCTGTGTAGTTCGATTGTGTGATACCCTTTGTGAATCGACAACCCCAGCAGAGCTTTGAGTATGGCCTTGTGTTTCCTAGAAGGTTGTTTCTCTAGTCTCAAGGTCATTAGTATTCCATTGTTTATTTTTGAATCGATGATGGATTTTAGTCATTCATGCTTCTACTTGGGGCTTGTAGTTTATGTGCTCTTATATCTCATTATTTACATATGATAATGATACCACCTGGATGTGTAAGTTAAAGCTGAAAGTGCATTGCAGGTGATAAGTACTGCTAGGACATGCAATTGTATCATAATTGTTCTTGATGCAATAAAGCCAATAACCCATAAGCGCCTTATCGAAAAAGAGCTTGAAGGATTTGGCATAAGGTAATTACAAAGTAGCTTCAATTTCTTATGTATGTTTGTGTACATTTGTTTAGAATTTGGGGCCTGGGTATGGACTAGCTTCCACTTTTTAGCCTCCAAAATTCTGGTATTGCACTTTCATTAATTTGTGATGCATCTTCACTCTATAATTTTCTAGGAGGGGGAACAACTCTATACAAAGTTGTATTATTTCAGTCTTCAACAAATGAATAGAATCATAAAAAGCTCGGGTGTTCTTCGTGAAATAGGTTAAACAAGGAGCCACCTAATCTGACATTCAGAAAGAAGGATAAGGGTGTGATTTATTTCACAGCTACAGTCACCAATACGCATGTTGATCTTGAGACTGTGAAGGCAATATGCAGAGAATACAGAATTCACAATGCTGATCTTACGTTGAGGTTTGATGCAACTGCTGATGATCTGATTGATGTCATTGAGGGCAGTAGGGTATATATTCCATGTGTCTATGCCCTGAACAAGATCGATCAGATCACTCTTGAAGAGCTCCAGATTTTGGATAAACTTCCTCACTACTGCCCAATCAGGTGAAATTTTATTTTCCCTGCGCCTAACTTTTCGTTTTTCTCTTTTCATTGCGTTTCAACTTTCATTCTGGTTGTTTGATAAGCGTGAGTATTCTCATTATGCCATCCCCTCAATATCTTCAACCTGACTTATGCATGGAATTGTAGTGTGCTAGGGTTAATAATTGGGTAATTACTAAGCTTTGTTTAGTGCTATTAGAGGTGAAACAGCTCTTGGATTTTCGATTTGGTTTTACCGATTTGCACACCAAATTCACTATTTTGCTCAAAATCCTTACTTAGTGGCCTCAGAAAAGGTGCCAACCCCACTTTGAAAACAATGAGGGTACCAAATCCGTGGGTGGCACATTGGTTTTTCGAAATTTGTCACTCCTAATATCTCTTTTTTCCTCAACCATTTACCTTCAAAAATATCGGTGAGGGTAGAAGTCGCACTCCATTTATGGCAGTCCACTTCTTAAATCCAACATTCAAACAACAAAGTTTTAAAACCATCAAAAGTGTTATGTTCCATCCTTTTTCATATCCATCAATCTTTTGCCATCCGAAGTCCAAACTACCCCCAGAGTATTTTACATTACCAGAATAAGGGTCTTCCATCTCACATTTGTATTTTGCAAATAAGTAATCTGGTAGGGTTTTCTTTCTTGCTTGTTGGGTTGGACAGTGCTCATCTTGATTTGATGGGTTGCTGGACAAGATATGGGAGTATCTAGATCTCTGATAATCGGCTTTAACATATGGAATTCTTAGACTTTATGTGATTATTCGTGGTATGTTTTAGCCGATTGGTGTTATTTTAGGGCTCGCTAACCCAAGAATGGTTGAAAAACCATTACTGCCTTGTGCCATGAGTTTGATGTATTACAGGTGAAGAAAACACGAAAAAGAAGTTGCACCTGCAAACAATTCTCGAATGCTGGGCTCAAAGCCCAGCTGGATGGGGATTAATGACATGGGCGGCGGAAGGAAGCTTAATTGGTGGCGGATTTGGGCTATTGAGAAAAGAAAGAGACAAAAATCTCTTTGGAGGGCGGCTGGTTTTTCTAGAAGACAGGGGCAATTTTATTGGTGGCTCATTCTTTGGGCCGGATTTCTTGGAACAGAAGGACGGAACTAATATTGGAAGGGGAGGCAATTAAATTGGGGTCTCTTTGGTTGTGCTGGGCGGAACATTATTCTTTTGCCAGGGGATCGGGGGGAAATCTCATTGGGAGGAAGAAAGCGAGAACAGGCAAAAAGCAGCAGCAGCGAGCAGCACTCGATTGAGAAGTTCGATCGACTTCTCTCAAGCGACTTGAGCTGAGTTCAACGAGAGCGATTAGTTGGTTGGATTTTCTAAACCTAATTAGTTGTTTCTTGTTGTTTTAGAACATGATGAACAAAACCCTATCGATTTATCTTAATTTCGTCATGAACTAAACCCCAATTTCTGGGGGAAACACCATAGGATGTAGCTAGTTCTTGATTTGATGGATTGATTCATGATTCTTTTCTTCCAATCTCTATTGCATGAAATTAATTAATGCTTTGTGTAGCTAGTTCTTGAGTTGACTGGCCACCAATACAATGAATCGTAGTTAATTAGGTTATTAGCGACAGTGAAACCCTAATAACTGAACATATTTCATGTGACATAGTAACTTATCGAAGCGACAGTGGATTAAATAAGGTGCTATGCGGTCTTAAATAGGATATCGATCTTCAGGCTATATAGTTAATTCATTGAGCAACGACAGTAGGATTTGAATTGATTATTTAGTACGTAGTAATTCCCGACAGGGATAGCTAGCACAGTAGTGATATCCTGGCTGTAGAGGTATGGATTAAATTGATTGGAATATGTGAATTAATCTGGATAGGATAGGTAGTGAATCCCGGTGTTTCTCCCAGAGCTTTCTCCCATTGAATTTTCCTCGACAAGTTTACTTTGTTTAATTAGTTTAATTATTTTGCTAATAGTTAATAATTTCATCTCTTAAACATTTTCACATATAGTTTGCTCGAAAGAATTGATAAATCATAAGGTTGTACCAGTCCCTGAGAGACGATACCCGGACTTTCCGGTTTTACTACAAGATAGGATTAAGGCATACGCTTTTGCCCTACCAAGTTTTTGGCGCCGTTGCCGGGGACTGCCATACCTTATTTTTTATTGATTTTTGTGAGTGAACTATTTTGATCTGTGTGCTAGTGTGCAGGTGAATTTCAGGTTAATCCTTTTTGTACATGCCTAGGAGGACAACCAGGGATTTATTGCCACTAGACCTGGAGATCGAGAAGACCTGTCGACTGAACAGGAAGCAGGTCAAGTTAGGGAAGCAGCCAACCACAACTCCTAGGCCTTCCCTAACCCAGAGAGGGCAGGCTTCATCACCTGTCGTTCCTACACCACCACCACCACCTCGTGACATTGAGCCAGTCATCATGGCTGAACAGGATCGTTCGATCAGGGCTCGTCTGAATCGGAGGACTGGAGCCCGAGCTTCATGTGTTGTCATTCCGGCTGGGGATGCCAACATGGAGATTGCCCCAGCCTTCATCAATATGATCACTAATGGGTACACCTTCTCAGGGGCCAGCACCGAGGATCCTCATGAACATCTCCGCCGGTTTGCAAACATTTGTGACACAATGAAGAGCCCGGCTGTGTCTGATGATGCCATCCGTCTTCGGATGTTCTCATTTTCTCTGCTTGGGAATGCATCACACTGGTTCCAGAACTTGACACCCCGTTCCATTACAACATGGGGTCAGCTTGAGAAGACCTTTTTGGATAAGTACTTTCCTCCTGCCAAGGCAATGAAGAGGCAAGAGGAAATTGTAACTTTTAAACAAGCTGAGGATGAAAGTCTGACCGAGGCATGGGAGCGCTATAAGGAGCTTCTAATGAGATGCCCGAGCCACGGTCTTGAAGATTGGAATGTGATCTCCATCTTCTTCAACGGAATCAGAAGACAATTTCGAGATGCTCTGAATAATGCTTCCCGAAATGGTTTCACAAGAATGGAAGCACCAGAAGCTTATGAACTGTTGGAGAAGATATGCTCTGAAGATACTGAATGGGGTAGTGAGACCGGCATTCGAAGGAGAGGAGGCTTGCATGAAATAGACAGAGTTGCAAGCTTAGAAGCAAAGATTGATGCAAAGCTAGACTCCAAGTTCAATGCACTCGAACGAAGGCTGGCTAAGTTGGCTCTTGGTAGACAGGAGGAGGTTGCTTATTGCGAATTATGTGAAGGTGCTCATCATAGGGATCTATGTCCACTGGTGGCTGATCAGGTGGAAGATGTGCACTATATCAACAATCAGAGAAATCAAGGCCAGGGTGGTATGTATTCGAATACCTACAACCCACAATGGAGGAAGCATCCTAACTTTTCCTGGGCGAACAACAACCCAAATGGTGCTCGCAACATTCCACCTCCAGGCATGCAGAAACAACAACCTCCACCTCAACCAGAGAAGAAACCACAACTTGAAGAATTGCTTCTGGCTCACATGCAGAAAACCGACAATAATCTGAAGGGCCTGGATCCGTTTGTCACTCAACAGCTAGCCATCAACAATAATATGCAATCATCTATGCTAGCTATGGAGAGGCAAATAGGCCAGATGGCTCAAACTTTGGCAGATATGCAAGGCAGGATTCCTGGGACATTACCAGCAAATACTGAGAGGAATCCGAAGGATGCCATGGTTGTAGCAGTGACATTGAGGAGTGGAAAGGCCTTGGAAGACCCTAGCAGCTTGAAAAAGGCACCAGAGGCGGAAGAGGAAGCACCGGGAGAAAGATCTTGTGCAGAAAATGAAGAATCAGCCTTGCACAGGCAAAATGAAAGCGGTTTGCCTGTGCAAAAGCATGCTGCCCGTGTACCTCAAAAAGTGGAAAAATTGAAGAATGAAGAGGTAAAGCCTTATGAACCTCCCGCACCATTCCCTCAAAGGTTAATGAAGCCCATGGAAGACCCAAACTTCAAGAAATTTGTGAATATCTTCAAGCAACTTCAGGTTAACATACCCTTGGCGGAGGCACTTGAACAGATGCCTACATATGCTAAATTCTTAAGGGAGTTGCTGACAAAGAAGCGGAAATGGGCTGATCTGGAGAAGGTAACCCTTACTTCTGAATGTAGTGTTGTGATTCAGAATAAATTACCAGAAAAGAGGGATGATCCAGGCAGCTTCACCATTCCATGTGTCATTGGAGGTACAGAATTCAATAAATCACTTTGTGATCTTGGAGCAGGAATTAATTTGATGCCATACTCAGTCTACAAGAAATTGGGATTGGGAGATGTTCTAAAGCCTACTCGGATCACTCTCCAATTGGCTGATCGATCAGTGAAAATTCCAAAAGGAGTGGTGGAGAATGTATTGGTGAAGGTGGGAAAGTTTATTCTCCCAACAGATTTTGTAATCCTGGAGATGGAAGATGATCGGGGAGTGCCTCTAATCCTCGGCAGACCTTTTCTAGCAACCGGTGATGCACTCATCGATGTTGGGAGAGGCAAGTTGACATTCCGAGTAGGTAAGGAGGAGGAAATTTTTAATGTCTTTCAAGTTGACCATAATCATGATGAATTTGAAAGTGAAGCTCGAGAAAGGAAAAATCCCTCTTCCTGTGATAGTGGACCATCCGAAGAACTATCACCTATCCTATCTGCTCAGATTCTGAAGTCAAAGCAAGGGCAGAAATCCTTGCCAGGTCACCTCAAGTATAGATATTTGGGTAAGGATTTCAATCTTCCTGTTATTATTCCTTCTTCACTGACATTGAAACAGGAAGAGTACCTGCTTGAGGCGCTGCAGTACCACCTACGCCTCACTAGAGGGTCTAACATGCCAGCTAAGAAGGTCATACCAAATTTTCGTACACCTGGCCCTGCAGAGGTGACTCATATGCTGGATGGAGGTTATGCGTTCTACCATTGCTTGGGAGGGTATGTTGGATACCTTTCCATACCCATTGGTTGAAAGCTCCATGAACGTCAGGCTGAGGACGTTAAACAAGCGCTTCTTGGGAGGCAACCCAAGGTAAGTTTTCTTTTCTTTTTTTTATTTTTATTTTTAGTTGTGTCAAACCCGTGCATGTTTAGATTAGGAGTTGAACATTAGGGACAATGTTCCATCCTGAGTGTGGGGTGGTGAGTCTTAGTGTTGTTTGTCCATGTTGCATGTGGTAAAAAAAAAATCAAAAAAAATTGTTTGTTCCTTTTGTCATGTGGTCGGTAAAAAAACAAAAAAAAATCCAAAAAAAAAACAAAAAAACAAAAAAAAATTGCCATTAGGTTGAGCACAGCCAAACTGCATGCAGTTTGCCTGTGTAAAAAGCAGTCTGCCTGTGTAAAAAGCAGTCTGCCTGTGTTAATCTAATGGCTAAAAAACACCTAAAAATCAGAAAAATTAAAAACAAAACCTTGTACTCTTGTGGTAATATGATGTAAATGACCGTGATGCCTTGAAAATGAGTTTGTGCTTGAATGAAATCATCAAAATCACCCCACTGTGTTGAATTGTATGGTTCTTCACAATGAGCTTGAATGTTTTGACTGACTTGATATGCTTTGAATGAGCAACTCTTTTAGCAACATTCTCTTTTGTGAGGATAGTGTAACGGCTTTTGGTGAAGTAGTTAGGTGGAGAACATTGACCATTCGATATGTTTGGATACCGTGCTTACTGGCATCAATTGTGAGCTTTTGATTTTGCAATG